GCATGTGTGTATATCATATGTTATTACACAACAAGGCAAGTGTGTATATTGTATGTTATTACACAACAAGGCAAGTGTGTATATCGTATGTTATTACACAACAAGGCAAGTGTGTATATAGTATGTTTTTACACAACAAGGCAAGTGTGTATATCGTATGTTATTACACAACAAGGTATGTATGTATATCATATGTTATAACACAACAAGGCAAGTGTGTACATCATATGTTATAACACAAGGCATGTGTGTATATCATATGTTATAACACAACAAGGCATGTGTGTATATCATATGTTATTACACAACAAGGCAAGTGTGTATATCGTATGTTATTACACAACAAGGCAAGTGTGTATATCATGTGTTATGACACAACAAGGCAAGTGTGTATATCATAAGTTATTTCACAACAAGGCAAGTGTGTATATCATATGTTATACAACAACAAGGCAAGTGTGTATATCATATGTTATTACACAACAAGGCAAGTGTGTATCGTATGACGATTGTATGCTTGCCCCGGGACATGCATTTGATAACACAAGATGGCAAAGTGAGAGGTGCACGTGTGAAAGGCTCGGGGAATACTTATCACGTTCATCACGCAGGGCTGACTCACACAGTGTTCTCCCAGTTAAGCATCTAGTTCTTGAAACTCATTTGAAATACAGATATCAAAACACAGTTGTTTTAACACTTTACACGCTAATGTTCTTTTAATGTTGGCCATGGTTCAAATAGGTTAGAGGACTCTGACCATGGTATCTAACCAATACATAAAGTTGACACAGCTTATGTACACTCCACATTACTAGATACTGTGTCTGGCGCTGTGCCAAGTCCTGCTTTTTCTGTAATCATCTGATCGTCTATAACGTTGTTTAAGTGGTAATTCTGATAGGTACTGGTGTACTGCTTACACTGGGTCCCAATTAAACCGAAAATTTGATGCTTTATCTTGACAAGATTGCTGTAGACACAATCAGTGCTCACTGTCTGAAACCGGTCAACACATTAACACACAAAATAGAATATTTATTTCTTAATAATTAATGCTTAAAGCTGATCGTGTTGTGTCATGTTTTACTGAACACATAATTAAAGTAGTTTTGTTCCACCGTATGACTTGTAGCTGAGTGATCATATGACCTGATGTTTGTGATAAAAAAAATATTGCATCTTAAGTAGAGTAGTTGCTTCTTGCTCTGTGTCTTGAACTGCCACTGGATGTGAGTTGGGAGAGGAGGCAGTCAATGAGAGTTGAGAGAAGAGGCAGTGGATGAGAGTTGAGAGGAGGCAGTGGATAAAAGTTGAGAGGAGGCAGTGGTTGAGAGTTGAGAGTAGGCAGTGGTTGAGAGTTGAGAGAGGAGGCAGTGGATAAGAGTTGAGAGAGGAGGCAGTGGTTGAGAGTTGAGAGAGGAAGCAGTGGATAAGAGTTGAGACAGGAGGCAGTGGATAAGAGTTGAGAGAGGAGGCAGTGGTTGAGAGTTGAGAGAGGAGGCAGTGGATAAGAGTTGAGAAGAGGCAGTGTATGAGAGTTGAGAGGAGGCAGTGGTTGAGAGTTGAGAGGAGGCAGTGGTTGAGAGTTGAGAGATGAGGCAGTGGATAAGAGTTGAGAGGAGGCTGTGGATGAGAGTTGAGAGAGGAGGCAGTGAATGAGAGAGGAGGCCGTGAATGAGAGTTGAGAGAAGAGGCAGTGGATGAGAGTTGAGAGGAGGCAGTGGATAAGAGTTGAGAAGAGGCAGTCGTTGAGAGTTGAGAGAGGAGGCAGTGAATGAGAGAGGAGGCCGTGAATGAGAGTTGAGAGAAGAGGCAGTGGATGAGAGTTGAGAGGAGGCAGTGGATAAGAGTTGAGAAGAGGCAGTCGTTGAGAGTTGAGAGGAGGCAGTGGTTGAGAGTTGAGAGAAGGCAGTGGTTGAGAGTTGAGAGAGGAGGCAGTGGGTAAGAGTTGAGAGGAGGCAGTGGATGAGAGCTGAGAGAGGAGGCAGTGGTTGAGAGAGGAGGCAGTGGTTGAGAGCTGAGAGAGGAGGCAGTGGATGAGAGTTGAGAGAAGAGGCAGTGGATGAGAGCTGAGAGAGGAGGCAGTGGATGAGAGCTGAGAGAGGAGGCAGTGGATAAGAGTTGAGAGAGGAGGCAGTGGTTGAGAGTTGAGAGAGGAAGCAGTGGTTGAGAGTTGAGAGAAGAGGCAGTGGATGAGAGTTGAGAGAGGAGGCAGTGGATGAGAGTTGAGAGAAGAGGCAGTGGATGAGAGTTGAGAGAGGAGGCAGTGGTCCCTAGTTGAGAGAGGAGGCAGTGGTCCCTAGTTGAGATGCAAGGCAGTGATCCCTAGTTGAGATGCAAGGCAGTGATCCCTAGTTGTGAGGCAAGGCAGTGATCCCTAGTTGAGAGGCAAGGCAGTGATTCCTAGTTGAGAGGCAAGGCAGTGGTCCCTAGTTGAGATGCAAGGCAGTGATCCCTAGTTGAGATACAAGGCAGTGGTCCCTAGTTGAGAGGCAAGGCAGTGATCCCTAGTTGAGAGGCAAGGCAGTGGTCCCTAGTTGAGATGCAAGGCAGTGGTCCCTAGTTGAGATGCAAGGTAGTGGTCCCTAGTTGAGAGGCAAGGCAGTGGTCCCTTGTTGAGATGCAAGGCAGTGATCCCTAGTTGAGAGGCAAGGCAGTGATCCCTAGTTGAGATGCAAGGCGGTGGTCCCTAGTTGAGATGCAAGGCAGTGGTCCCTAGTTGAGATGCAAGGCAGTGGTCCCTAGTTGAGATACAAGGCAGTGGTCCCTAGTTGAGAGGCAAGGCAGTGATCCCTAGTTGAGATGCAAGGCAGTGGTCCCTTGTTGAGATGCAAGGCAGTGATCCCTAGTTGAGATGCAAGGCAGTGGTCCCTTGTTGAGATGCAAGGCAGTGGTCCCTAGTTGAGAGGCAAGGCAGTGATCCCTAGTTGAGATGCAAGGCAGTGATACCTAGTTGAGATGCAAGGCAGTGGTCCCTAGTTGAGATGCAAGGCAGTGGTCCCTAGTTGAGATGCAAGGCAGTGGTCCCTAGTTGAGATACAAGGCAGTGGTCCCTTGTTGAGATGCAAGGCAGTGGTCCCTAGTTGAGATGCAAGGCAGTGGTCCCTAGTTGAGATGCAAGGCAGTGGTCCCTTGTTGAGATGCAAGGCAGTGGTCCCTATTTGAGAGGCAAGGCAGTGATCCCTAGTTGAGATGCAAGGCAGTGGTCCCTTGTTGAGATGCAAGGCAGTGGTCCCTAGTTGAGATACAAGGCAGTGGTCCCTAGTTGAGATGCAAGGCAGTGATCCCTAGTTGAGATGCAAGGCAGTGGTCCCTAGTTGGGATGCAAGGCAGTGATCCCTAGTTGAGATGCAAGGCAGTGGTCCCTAGTTGAGATACAAGGCAGTGATCCCTAGTTGAGATGCAAGGCAGTGGTCCCTTGTTGAGATGCAAGGCAGTGGTCCCTTGTTTAGAGGCAAGGCAGTGGTCCCTAGTTGAGAGGCAAGGCAGTGGTCCCTAGTTGAGAGGCAAGGCAGTGGTCCCTAGTTAAGAGAGGACTCTAGTTGAGATGTAATGAGGCTGTTGCTCCTACCATGTGATGGAGAGGCAGTTGTGTGTGTTGAGAGGTACTTGATACCTGCTTGTGCTGTATTTACGTAAGACTTCACGCCGACACATGCTCCTATCTCCCGTCGAAATAACCCAGGACTTACCTGTGCTCAAGCTTCATTCTCCCCCAATCTCTATTCCCGATCTCTCATGACCAGTTGTGCAGAGATTGCTGAGTGGCAAAGGCTATGATTCACTGGAGTAGGGAACCGTGTCAGTTCTTGAGTACAACTAATTACTCAAACAACCTAGTCTTGCTTGGTGTATTCAATATTTGGCTGTTTAAGATTTGAATATAATCATTGTTTTGTCAACATTTGTATGAATGCCCTTGTGGTATTGAGACTTAAATGATATATTATATTTTTATCTTCCAACAATATTTATTCGTAGATGTTTCTGTAATGTTCGTCCATCTACATGTTTAGGAAGACGTGCTGTGTCACCTTACCCCTGTGTCTTTGATCGTCATGGCTACCACAAAGTTTCATGAGCTCAGTTGAAGCACTGCAATGGTCATAACTCCTATTCTTTGTAGGGAGAACTAGACTCACATTTAGTCCCAGAAATATAGTGATCTTATTTAGAAATATATATCTACAAAATAAGCAAAATAGACTCTAAATGGAGCCCTGGAAACAGTCCTTAAGCCTAGAGCTGAGGTAGTCCAGACTTGCCAAATCAATTTTGACTTTGAGTTGGACTCCCTTTTTTTAATTTATTCTCCAGGGTCTGGAGACAGGCAAGGGAGAACCTACTCAAGCTTACTGGCAGTCGCAGTTCATGCTTAGAGAAGTCACTCAAGCACAACTTTGTCTACTTGTTCATTTTTATGATCATTATGTCATTCAAACAGTCATTGATAAGGCTAATTACAGAGACACGTCACACTAAATACACAGAGATAATTTCTTCATTTACACATCCCATTAACAGAATAAAGACTCTCTCTTGTTTGACAATGGTATTAGGATCTATACCTAAACATTGCATCATAACAGAATAAAGACTCTCTCTTGTTTGACAATGGTATAAGAATCTATACCTAAACATTGCATCACAGCAGAATAAAGAAGTTGTAATCCATAAAATGTCTCGCCTTCACTGTTACTTACCAACTTGTAACACAGTTCACTCAGGGTGTATATGGAGCTAGTGGTAAGCTGCCTGTTTACCTCTCGCTGCATGTTTCACCCTTTTCACGATCACCTGGCATCATCACTGTTTGATAGTGATTCAAAAGCACAAGCTCATGATATAGTCAGAATCGTACAATCAACTCTGCTTAATGCAGAGATTTCTATTTGATATGAAAATAGCTTTGTCGCATTATCATCATCATTACTTCATCATCATCATCGTCGTCATTATTATTATTATTTTTATTATTATTATTATTATTATTGCAGGGATGGTGTCAACGAGGGCATCCACTGGCTGGTGGAGAGCATCAAGAAGAACAGCATACAGAGACCCCCAACCCTGAAGGACATTACCTGACCCCCTCATGGCTCTCTCTGGGGGGTGGGGGTGTCCTGTACAGGGGGGTAGGTCATGCAGTTCATGTCAGCGCAGTCCGCACACACAGCAGACTGAGGGGATCATGTTTGTCTTCTGGTTCATACCATAACTGTTCACATGGTGTAAACAGAATGAAGAACTTGTCATTTGTCAAGTCATTAGCTGCTTCCATAACTTCTTGACGTGTACCAATTTCCATGATTCACAGCTGTAGGGTAGCCAGACTACAGTCGCACACATATTCCTAGTTCTATTTTCAAAATGAATTCCATATTCAAGTCCATACAAAAACTCTCAATGTTTCTGTCCCAGAGACTATTCCATTGTCGTCTTCTTAGAAAGAACTGATGTTTGCCCTTCATGTACTTGAAATGTGTCTCTCCTACTTATGTACAGTATGTAGTAATCCTGGTAATCCTGGTCATCCTAGTATTCCTGGAACATCCTTAAAACTGTTACTATAAATAGAAACATTGATTAGGGCTGCATCATGCACTTTTACTACCCTGACATTAATAGAATCTTTGTGTAGGATTAAGAAGAATCATCTTCCCGAGGCAAGAGAGTGAACTGACTTTAAAAGTCCAGTTTCCACCCTTGCCGAACTAGGCTGGAATTCCTGGGCTCGATCATAGCGCCACCAGTGGCTATTACGAGTTATGTCCTTTCTATGCCTCTCCTATTGACCAATCAGATTCAACCTCTCGTATCACTTGCATTTGTTTCAAACAAAACGGTGTCGCCCAGTCAAGACGATCTGATCAATAATCAAGATCTATATTGTGATAAAACGAGTCTTACATCGTGAAGTGCATCAAATCACGTGAGCACCTTGATTAAAAACAGGAAAAGATTTAGAAAAAATCTGTGGACAACGAGTTAGCCGTGCACATGCTTTGCAAATCCTACAGTCGACCTAAATCTGCATGAAACTTTACGAGCTGGATTTCGATTTCGGTGCGCGATTTTGATTGGACTATGCAGAGACTCGTTAGTCCAGCCAAAATGTAACTCCATAATACCAGCCTAGTTCGGCAAGGGTGAAAACTGGACTTCTATAGTCAGCTAACTCACTTGCCTCGGGAAGATGGAGAAGTATTAGCCTGGAGGCTCAATCCCCACCTCATCCGGTTGTTGCTATGTAAGTGCAATAATCTTGAACCTGACGTTAAACCCCATTTTACCTCACCTCACCTTAATCCTGTGGGAGAATGGCTGCTTAGTCTATTCAGCATTGTAGCATGCTGGTAGTGAATGGAATATGTGTGTAGCTGTGCTCTGGTTGATACATCTTATATAACATTGGGCATTATGTCTCATAGCACACGGACCTTGTGTGGCAGGCAACACGGAAGTAAGTCATCTGTGCAAATGTAGCTCACCTATAGCAACCCTATCACAGATCACTGGCCCACTGATTGTGGGAGACTTTGTATGGCTTCCCTGTCCAAGGGAAGTTCAAGCTTTGTGCCATGAGACGTGGGTGCTTCACCAGATGTTTACAACCAGGAATCTGCCAACGAGGAAGTGATGAACGCTCACTGAGCTGATAATCATTATAGGGGTAATACTATTATTCAGGGCATTATCATTTGCTGAAGCTTGAGGTCTTCCATTAACTGCCCGATGCAGAAGGGCAGTTGAAAAGACGGAGACTGATGCTTAGTTGTGAAAATATATAATTTTGATAAAAACAAACAACTCATTTTCATTTAAACTGAAAAGGAGCCCCAGTGAGATAGGAGATTCTGAACCTGTGGAAAATCTAGACTTGCTTCATTTAGGGCGAAAGCATTGCAGTAAGGGCTGGGTGGAAGGGAAAATATAAGGTTCAGGGAATGTGAGACAGGCTATAATGGACCGCTGCAAGAAATGATATCTGTTTTGTTGATGTTGTTGTATGATGATACCTGTGAGTGATACAGACAGCGTTCCAAGTACACTATATATTTTAATTTATTAATTACTTCATTTATTGTTTATGTTCATGATCTGTTTTAGCCTTATGTCTTTACAAATACTTTCCATTAATACCAAGTTCGAGATCACAGAATTTCATTTGTGTGAATACTTTCAGTGCATATGTTCCTGACTGACAGTTTCAGGGGTTCTTAGTGGGAAAATCTAGGGGTAGACTTGATGGAGGCTGATACCGATGGCCTGAAGTGATTGCTGTGGTGTGGTTCCAGAGTGTCCCTGTGTCACACAGCCTTGCTACACATGGTGTGGTTCCAGAGTGTCCCTGTGTCACACAGCCTTGCTACACATGGTGTGGATCCAGAGTGTCCCTGTGTCACACAGCCTTGCTACACATGGTGTGGATCCAGAGTGTCCCTGTGTCACACAGCCTTGCTACACATGGTGTGGATCCAGAGTGTCCCTGTGTCACACAGCCTTGCTACACATGGTGTGTTCATACAACACATTCTGTGGACAACAAGGGACATTCACTAACTTTAACAATTCACTGTCAACAATTTCTAGGATTATTTGTAAATGAAAGCCACGGGAGTCATGCCCATTTCCACTTGTAAGAGGGGTACACAAAGTATGTGAAATGGTTGAGTGGGTTAGATCGCTGACTTTGTGTGCTGGTGATTAGGTGCCTCACTCTGGCAGTGTGGGTTCAAATCCTGGATGGGACTCGACTCCAAAAAAGGACTAGAATCTTTACTTTACTAAGATGGTGTTATCCCAAATATAACGTTTGTTACATTGTTTCTAAATCTTTGAAACACTGGGTTGTTTCAACAGCATTATGAAATCATGAATGTGCAGTTTGGAAATGGACCCACTGACAAGGCTTGGGGGGGGGAGTTCACTAGTCAACGTGTTTACTGGAAGCTTACCACATTCAGTTCAGCTCCAGGGAAGTCAGCCTTTGACGTGCTGATGTCTGTATGAAAGCTGGGCCAGTATGGACTTATCATTAGATTGTCATCTCCAACTGCCGGCTCCCTCTAGAACTTTCCACCTTCAGGTCATTTTGTTAGTGATGTGTTGAACTCCTGGACTGAAATGAAACGACATAAATCAGGTTGAAGCAAATAGTTCAGGAACACAATAACCCAATCATAGATTTCTACAGCTGTAACATTACGCTCTAACAATATAACAATATCAGGTCTCATGCCCTGAACCTGGCTGTATAATGAGGCTATAACAATATCAGGTCTCATGCCCTGAACCTGGCTGTATATCGAGGCTATAATAATATCAGGTCTCATGCCCTGAACCTGGCTGTATAACAAAGCTATAATAATATCAAGTCTCATGCACTGAACCTGGCTGTATAACGAGGCTATAACAATATCAGGTCTCATGCCCTAAGCCTGGCGGTATAACAAGGCTATAACATGCCCTAAACCTGGCGGTATCAAGAACGGACACGCTCTGTGACCCCCCTCCAGGCCATTGACACTCACCCCTAAACTCCCACCCCCCAAACCCCCACCCCACATGTCAGATCCTATTTGTACATACCAGTCTCTATTTATTATCATGTCACGGTGTTATTATTCATTCAGGTTACCATGGTTTCTGTAGATAGACACCACAAACGGGAAACAGGACAAAAAAGTTGGGGTTTTCACCTCAAGCAAAAGTTTCAAGTCAGTGCTTTAGAACATTCACTCCTCAAGATATTTTTTCAACAAATCCAGATTAGGCACCAAGTTGCTTTTATCTCTCGGATCGTCCTTGTAGGTTTAGTGGCTGATGAAAGTAATGCAATGATTATTTCTTATATTGTGATTTTGTTAGACTAAAAATAAGATCAATGGTGGAATAATCTTTTTCTCAGACAATGACTGAAAAAGAGCTTTGTATATTGGTTTCTTCCATGCAGTGTGAAAGGGTTCTCCGATGGACACAGTTCATTTCCAGAATGTTTCCCTGCTGCTTTTGTTGAACTGTTTGCGCTCTGTCGGACTTTTTGTAGCTTTGTTATTGAAATAACCCTGTATATATGAGTATATATGTATGTTGTTTAGTGATATAGACCACTGACTGTCATATGGTGTTTGTCATGATGTATGGTAGCCTGACTGTGTGATATCTCAGCGTATACCCCACATTGATGGCGCCAGTAGTGTGTATATGAGAACCTTGTATATATATGTGTGTAGTGTGGTGACTGCGTAGTTGTACATTGTATATATCAGGTGACAAGCCAGAGAAATAACCCATGTTTCTTGTGCTGTTCTGTGGATTCAGCTGATTCTGTCATCATTGATTAAAAGATGCTGTGGCAAAGGAAAATCTTTGTTTGTTTTGGACATTAATCTTTATTTTAGTTCAGATCATTTTTTATTGTCACAGATTTGAACATGATAATTTTGTTTTGCAAAGGCTCACAATGTTATTGATCTGATGGATGAGTGACATTGTGAGATGCAACAATACTTGCTCAATAGGCTGGGGATTTATCATCACTTCTGGCGATGATTCATTGATAAAAGGAGACGCAACCCTCATCCTGGTCCTGCATATGGATTAAAAGAATTTCACCGGGGGCTATATGAAATTGGATTACAAACTTCAAACTTTTGAATTAGCTGCATAAAAACATTCAGTGATGAAGATGGCTAGATGTTTTGATAGAAGCAGCATCATTCACATAGGCTTTCATGACATGTGTGGATCTAGGAAATATTGATCTGTGTGAGTAGACAGGCAGTAGGGGGATCCATGGCATGGACAAGGTGTATAGCTGAACCCAGGACAACAAGGCTTCAACTGCCACGTGGTGATCATGGACTAGTTGTATAGCTGAACCCAGGACAACAAGGCTTCAACTGCCATGTGGTGATCATGAACTAGGTGTACAGCCAAACCCAGGACAACAAGGCTTCAACTCCCTCGTGGTGATCATAGACTAGGTGTATAGCCGAACCCAGGACAACAAGGCTTCAACTGCCATGTGATGATCATGAACTAGGTGTACAGCCGAACCCAGAACGACAAGTCTTCAACTCCTTCGTGGTGATCATGGACTAGGTGTATAGCCGAACCCAGGACGACAAGGTTTCGACTGCCACGTGGTGATCATGGACTAGTTGTATAGCTGAACCCAGGACAACAAGGCTTCAACTGCCATGTGGTGATCATGGACTAGTTGTATAGCTGAACCCAGGACAACAAGGCTTCAACTGCCATGTGGTGATCATGGACAAGGTGTATAGCCGAACCCAGGACAACAAGGCTTCAACTCCCTCGTGGTGATCATGGACTAGGTGTATAGCCGAACCCAGGACGACAAGGCTTCAACTGCCATGTGGTGATCATGGACAAAGTGTATAGCCGAACCCAGGAGGACAAGGCTTCAACTGCCCCATGGTGATCATGGACTAGGTGTATAGCCGAACCCAGGACGACAAGGTTTCGACTGCCACGTGGTGATCATGGACTAGGTGTATAGCCGAACCCTGGACGACAAGGCTTCAAATGCTTCGTGGTGATCATGGACTAGGTGTATGGCCGAACCCGGGAGGACAAGGCTTCAACTGCCACGTGGTGATCATGGACTAGGTGTATAGCCGAACCCAGGACGACAAGGCTTCAAATGCCTCGTGGTGATCATGGACTAGGTGTATGGCCGAACCCGGGAGGACAAGGTTTCGACTGCCACGTGGTGATCATGGACTAGGTGTATTGCCGAACCCAGGACGACAAGGCTTCAAATGCCTCGTGGTGATCATGGACTATGTGTATGGCCGAACCCAGGGGGACAAGGCTTCAACTGCCATGTGATGATTCCACCTGCAAGGGCCTGTTTGTCCACCAGGAGACTGCAGCCAGAGTACCTGCTAGATATACCACTGAATTTAGTCAGAACAGAGCCGGAAAAGTCTCCCCCGGTTTGCTTAGGTGACCATTCTATGAATGGAGATGGATAATGATGAAAGTTGTCTGTCACACAAGTACACATTCTGTGAATGGTGCCACTCATGATGTCCTGTCTCATTGATCGTGTCGTATTGACACAGTTAATGCCGGCAGTGAATCTACCCTACAGTGTTAGGACGGCTGTATGGCCACTTCTCATTACGTGTGTGCTCACACAATATTGATACATGTCCCTCGCTGTTTGTCTTCCTCTCTAACAAGCATATCAGCATGAACACAAGCTGCCCAATCTTTCTACCTCAAGCAAACAGTTTAATACAGCATCTTCTGAAACATGATAAGTACTTGCTATGTATAGGAACTATTTGTTTACCGGTTCCATGGATGATTACTGTCCAAGACATTTACATGTAATGATGACAAACAACGCTATCTACTGATGGTATTCATGTACAGTAGTCAGTGTAATAACTACACGACATGCTTTCATGTAACGATGACAGACAACGCTATCTACTGATGGTATTCATGTACCGTAGTCAGTGTAATAGCTACACCACATTCTTTCATGTAACGATGACAGACAACGCTATCTACTGATGGTATTCATGTACCGTAGTCAGTGTAATAACTACACCACATTCTTTCATGTAACGATGACAGACAACGCTATCTACTGATGGTATTCATGTACCGTAGTCAGTGTAATAACTACACCACATTCTTTCATGTAATGATGACAGACAACGCTATCTACTGATGGTATTCATGTACCGTGGTCAGTGTAATAACTACACCACATTCTTTCATGTAACGATGACAGACAACGCTATCCACTGATGGTATTCATGTACCGTAGTCAGTGTAATAACTACACCACATTCTTTCATGTAACAATGAGGGGGCACTGGTGGCCCAGTCGTCTAAGGCGCCGCGATTCGCTGTGCAGAGTTGCGTCCCTTGGGCACGCCTGAAACCTATGATTGTGGGTTCGAATCCCGGTTCGCCCCGATCATGTTTCTAGGTTTGTCAGCACCATACCTGTGCCCGTGGGTTTCACCGAAGTGGTAAACGTCTGTGACCTGCATCACTTCGGGCTTTCCTCCCACATTTAGCTGACACGCCGCGATATAACTGGAATACTGTTAAAAGCGGCGTTAAACCAAACTCACTCACTCACTCATGTAACGATGACAGACAACACTATCTACTGATGGTATTCATGTACCGTAGTCAGTGTAATAACTACACCACATTCTTTCATGTAACGATGACAGACAACACTATCTACTGATGGTATTCATGTACCGTAGTCAGTGTAAAAACTACACCGCATTCTTTCATGTAACGATGACAGACAACGCTATCTACTGATGGTATTCATGTACCGTAGTCAGTGTAATAACTACACCACATTCTTTCATGTAACGATGACAGACTACACTATCCACTGATGGTATTCATGTACCGTAGTCAGTGTAATAACTACACCACATTCTTTCATGTAACGATGACAGACTACACTATCTACTGATGGTATTCATGTACCGTGGTCAGTGTAAAAACTACACCACATTCTTTCATGTAACGATGACAGACTACACTATCTACTGATGGTATTCATGTACCGTGGTCAGTGTAATAACTACACCACATTCTTTCATGTAACGATGACAGACTACACTATCTACTGATGGTATTCATGTACCGTAGTCAGTGTAATAACTACAGCACCTTCTTTCATGTAACGATGACAGACAACACTATCTACTGATGGTATTCATGTACCGTGGTCAGTGTAATAACTACACCACATTCTTTCATGTAACGATGACAGACAACACTATCTACTGATGGTATTCATGTACCGTAGTCAGTGTAATAACTACACCACATTCTTTCATGTAACGATGACAGACTACACTATCTACTGATGGTATTCATGTACCGTAGTCAGTGTAATAACTACACCACATTCTTTCATGTAACGATGACAGACAACGCTATCTACTGATGGTATTCATGTACCGTAGTCAGTGTAATAACTACACCACATTCTTTCATGTAACGATGACAGACTACACTATCTACTGATGGTATTCATGTACCGTAGTCAGTGTAATAACTACACCACATTCTTTCATGTAACGATGACAGACAACGCTATCTACTGATGGTATTCATGTGCCGTAGTCAGTGTTATAACTACACCACATTCTTTCATGTAACGATGACAGACAACACTATCTACTGATGGTATTCATGTACCGTAGTCAGTGTAATAACTACACCACATTCTTTCATGTAACGATGACAGACTACACTATCTACTGATGGTATTCATGTACCGTAGTCAGTGTAATAACTACACCACATTCTTTCATGTAACGATGACAGACAACACTATCTACTGATGGTATTCATGTACCGTAGTCAGTGTAATAACTACACCACATTCTTTCATGTAACGATGACAGACAACACTATCTACTGATAGTATTCATGTACCGTAGTCAGTGTAATAACTACACCACATTCTTTCATGTAACGATGACAGACAACGCTATCTACTGATGGTATTCATGTACCGTAGTCAGTGTAATAGCTACACCACATTCTTTCATGTAACGATGACAGACAACGCTATCTACTGATGGTATTCATGTACCGTAGTCAGTGTAATAACTACACCACATTCTTTCATGTAACGATGACAGACAACGCTATCTACTGATGGTATTCATGTACCGTAGTCAGTGTAATAACTACACCACATTCTTTCATGTAATGATGACAGACAACGCTATCTACTGATGGTATTCATGTACCGTGGTCAGTGTAATAACTACACCACATTCTTTCATGTAACGATGACAGACAACGCTATCCACTGATGGTATTCATGTACCGTAGTCAGTGTAATAACTACACCACATTCTTTCATGTAACGATGAGGGGGCACTGGTGGCCCAGTCGTCTAAGGCGCCGCGATTCGCTGTGCAGAGTTGCGTCCCTTGGGCACGCCTGAAACCTATGATTGTGGGTTCGAATCCCGGTTCGCCCCGATCATGTTTCTAGGTTTGTCAGCACCATACCTGTGCCCGTGGGTTTCACCGAAGTGGTAAACGTCTGTGACCTGCATCACTTCGGGCTTTCCTCCCACATTTAGCTGACACGCCGCGATATAACTGGAATACTGTTAAAAGCGGCGTTAAACCAAACTCACTCACTCACTCATGTAACGATGACAGACAACACTATCTACTGATGGTATTCATGTACCGTAGTCAGTGTAATAACTACACCACATTCTTTCATGTAACGATGACAGACAACACTATCTACTGATGGTATTCATGTACCGTAGTCAGTGTAAAAACTACACCGCATTCTTTCATGTAACGATGACAGAC